CATACCCTGTCTGTGTCTGATCTGTGTAAACGTCTTGACCCAAACCTCTGATCCTGTTTGAGTTCCTCTCTGGGAATGCCCAAAAGGCGTATTGGGACCTGAACGTTGAACAGGCGGCTAACTACGACGGACTCAAATGGGAGATACTCAGCCGCTACTGGTACAGTCTGGCCCATCGGGCTCAACGGTTCCACAACTGGAGGTTCGTACCCGATGCATCCCCCCGAGCACAGATGAGCGACCTTCTGCACGTCACCAGGGCATGGCTCCTAACCGACGTTTCCACCCTCTCCCTCCTCGACAAAGTGGTCCTGGATCGCTTCGTACGGGCGCTACCCCATGACATGAAGCGGGCAGCGAGCCTATGCACGCCCCAGACCTTGGAGGGCCTCCTGGAAGCAGTGGAGACACATCAGAACACTCAGGCCCTACTGAGGGGGAGCCGGGACGAGTCGGCGACCTGTGCGAGGGGATGGAAGGACAACCCCACTGCGGTGTACCCCGAACCGACAGTCGGCAGGGCCAAGGGACCGCAAACCAGTGGAGAGATGGCTGGGGAAGGGCCGACCCGCCACCGACGACCCCAGGTAGATGGAGACCAACGGAGGTGTTTTGAGTGTGGCGCCCGGGGGCACATTGCCTGGAATTGCCCTGCTCGAGAGGAGTCGATGCCATCAGCTAGCACCGGAGGCCAGATGGGTTACGCCGTGAACTATGTCACCTCCTGTTGGGCGCACCATGAATCAACTGCACCCATGGTCCCGGTGAAGGTTGACGGACATGACACGGAAGCGCTATCAGACTCCGGAAGCATGCTTACGCTTGTAACCACGAGCCTGCTGAACCAGGAGACCGAACGGGGTAGGGAGATGTCCATTTCCTGTGTTCACGGTGACACAAAGCGGTATCCCGCCGTATGGACCAACATCGTGACACCACAAGGGTGCTGCCAGATGATGGTGGGTGCAGTACCAGAGCTGCCGGTACCTATTCTAGTGGGACGGGATTGTCCGCTGTTCGCGGCCCTATGGGGGCACGAGTTGAAAAAAAAGATACGAGCCGGCCAAAGAAGAGAGCAGGGACGACCCCTCGCCTGTGCGGCCAGGACGCTACCGGTTAACCAACCTGACTCTACAGGTCCGGAGTCGGAGTCGGAGGGGGAGCCGGAACCCGAAGCCCCTGGGGAACCACTGGAGGAGGAGCCCAGCCTCCCCCTTCTCGATTTCGAGGGGCCAGTCGAGAACCCTGTTGGGGGCCAACTGAGGGGACAATTCGGGACGGCCCAGTGGAGGATCCGAATTCGAAAGCTACCGCAGCCCAAGTTATAGCGGTGGATGGACAGCTACTTCCGGGGGTGAGTGACTGGCGATACCCCCATTTCCAAATTAAGAATAACCTTTTGTATCAGGTGTCGCGCCAACAGGGGGAACTTCGAGAGGTATTGTTGCTGCCCCGATGGTACGTAGGAACCGTTCTTCAGCTGGCCCACACCCACCTGTTGGGGGCGCACCTGGGAATGGAGAAGACCCGGGAACGGGTCGCCGCCCGGTTCCACTGGCCCGGGATGAGGAGGGCCGTGGAAGACTACTGTCGCAGCTGCCCGGAATGTCAACTCACTGCCCCGAAAGCACACTTCCGAAACCCTCTGGTCCCCCTGCCGATAATCGGGGTGCCCTTTGAACACATCGCCATGGACATAGTGGGAGCTGTTCCACCTCTTTAGCCGGGTGGGCATCCCGAACGAGATACTGACAGACCATGGTACAGAGTTTATGTCCCGCCTCATGAAAGAGTTGTGTGCCCTCATGCAGATCAAGCAGATCCGGACCTCCGTTTTTCACCTGCAGACGGATGGGCTCGTCGAGCGCTTTAACAAAATGCTCAAACAGATGCTGCGGCAGGTCATCGAGCAGGACGGGAAGAACTGGGACCAGCTGCTACCCCACCTAATGTTCTCAATCCGAGAAGTACCCCAATCCTCCACTGGGTTTTCCCCGTTTGAACTCCTATACGGGCCACGTGGCCCACTTGACCTCGCCAAGGAGGTGTGGGGAGCCCAACCGACCCCTTACGCAGCGTGGTAGAGCACGTGGAGATGATGCGGGAGCGGATGACAGACATATGGCCAGTCGTGAGGGAACATATGGAGAAGGCCCAACACGCCCAAGCCCAGCCCCGAGAATTCCAGAGACAGGGTGTTGGTGTTGATCCCCACGGCCGAAAGTAAGTTCCTGGCAACATGGCACGGACCATACGAGGTGGTCGAGAAACTGGGACCTGTCATTTACCGCGTACGGCAACCGGGGAGACGAAAACCTCAACAGATTTACCACGTGAACCTGTTGAAGAAGTGGCACGAGAGGACAGCCTTGGCCGTGTTATGTTCGGGACCCAGGAGGCCAACGGTACCAGTGGTTGTCCCGAGTAGTGAGGACCTCAACCCCAGAAGCAAGAGCTCCGGGAGCTTGTCGATCGGAACACAGCTGTGTTCTCCGAGAAGCCGGGCCGCACGACCCTCATTGAACACCACATCCGTACCCGGCCCGGGGAAAAGGTAAGAAAGAGGACGTATCGAATTCTGGAGGCCCGACGGAAGGCCGTGAAACAAGAAGTGGAGGCTATGCTGAGGATGGGGGTCGTTGAAGAGTCACACAGTGCATGGTGCAGCCCCATCGTGTTGGTGCCCAAACCGGACGGTAGCCTACGCTTCTGTAATGATTTCCGGGGTGTGAACGACATAAGCGTATTCGACGCCTACCCCATGCTGAGGGTGGACGAGCTAATCGACCGATTGGGAAAGGACCGGTACATCAGCACCCTTGACCTGACCAAAGGATATTGGCAGGTACCATTGGCAGCCTCCTCCCGGGAGAAGACGGCATTCTCGACACCAGACGTTCTGTACCAGTACCGGGTGCTCCCGTTCGGTCTCCACGGAGCTCCGCCCACATTCCAGCGACTGATGAACAGAGTGCTTCGACCCCACCAGCAGTACGCAGTGGCCTATCTGGATGATATCATCATCCAAGGTTGAGAGGAGCACCTGACGCGCCTCCAGGCGGTGCTGGGCACGCTCAGACAAGCCGGGTTGACCGCAAACCCCAAGAAATGCAAGCTAGCGTTCGAGGAGGTGGAGTACCTGGGGTATTTGATCGGACGGGGGAACGTCAAGCCCCAGGAGAGGAAGGTTCACGCGGTACGTGACTGGCCCGTTCCACGCACCAAGACACAGGTCAAGTCCTTCCTGGGACTGGCAGGATACTATAGCCGGTTTATCCCCAACTTTGCGGCTATAGCTTCCCTCCTCACCGATCTAACCAGGGCCCGCCTCCCGAAAACAGTGAAATGGACGGACGAGACAGAAGCGGCGTTCAGCCGTCTGAAGGAAACGCTGTGCTCCCATCCGATTCTCGTAACGCCCGATTTCCAGGTGCCGATGGTGGTCCAGACGGATGCATGTGATACGTGACTAGGGGCCGTTCTGTCCCAAATACACGATGGGGAGGAGCACCCCATCATGTACATCAGCCGAAAGCTGATACCGAGATAAAAAAAATGCTCAATTGTTGAGAAAGAGTGTCTGGCGGTGAAGTGGGCACTAGACACTCTCAAGTATTACCTGTTAGGTACCCACTTCACCCTGGACACGGACCATGCTTCCCCCAGGGGAAAAGACACAAACGATCGGGTCACCAGGTGGTTCTTGTCCTTTCAACACTTCTGTTTTTCTGTTGTGCACAGGTCGGGGCGAAGCATGGAAACGTGGATGCCCTATCGAGAAGGGAGACAGACGTTGCGCTGATGACCGTCCCCTCCCCGACAGAGCTAAGGGCAGCAGGTTCTGAGTGTAATGTTTACTGTTCATATTTATTGTTTATTTCACTTTTGTTTACTATCTCCTTCACTTGCTTTGGCAATGTTAACATACATTTCCCATGCCAATAAAGCCCTTAAATTGAATTGAATTTAATTGAGAGAGAGAGAGAGAGAGAGAGAGAGAGATGCTGTAATGTATGGTGTAGCTGAAGGTGTTGTGAGAGTGTGATTTGAAGGAGTCAGGCGCAGGAGGGTAAATCACAGAATACAGAGTTTATTCCGTAGGACACGGTTACGCTGGATAGCGTCAACAAAATACAGGTACACGGGGAACAATATCCCCGGAAATACAAGGTACGGGTAGCTCAACCGAGCTACACATCTCTCAAATAACAATCACCCACAAGGACAAGGGGGGCAGAGGGAACACTTATGCATGTACTAATGAGGGGATATGAACCAGGTGTGTGTAATTGACAAGACAAGACAAATGGAATGATGAGATATGGAGCGGCAGTGGCTAGTAGGCCGGTGACGACGAACGCCGAAGCCTGCCCAAACAAGAAGGGGAGGCAGCTTCGGAGGAAGTCGTGACAGGTGTAGCTCAGTAAGCCTGTCCAGAGCTGTGGCCTGGTAAAGCAAAAAAGCTTTCTACTGCCAGACTACTGTAATCATATTGATAATGCATGTGCCACAGATAACAGTTCTCTACCTCCTTCCTACCAGGCACACCTACCAGCTCTCACAGTCTCACGTCTGAATTAGACGTTCATCCATGTTTCTCAAACATCACATTTTCGAAGTTGTTCCAAACGTCACATTTCTAAGTGTTTAATGTTAAGTTTAGGAAGTAACTCTGAATTTTTAAGGTAAGGGTTAAGGTTTGGGATAGGCTTAAAACAAAAATATCAAAAATAACTTTCTATTGCTGGATTCAAACTTGCAACCTTTGGAATCAGAGGCAGAAATCTACTTGAAGGTAACATTGCTCACTGTTGCCCCTAGTGGCTGGTTTCCACATCATCTCCCGACGTCCTCAGACATGGATGGATGTCGAATACTGACTTGTATCACGGGTGACCTGGCTGAGCCACACACAGACACGCACGCATTCATGCACACCACACACACACACACACACACACACACTGAGGTTAGGGAACCAATAGGATGGAGGGACTCACTGTGGCCAGCTCGTCAAACTTCCCGAAGAGTTCGTTGAGCAGTTTGACCAGTTCCTGGGCAGTACACTGAGACGCCAGACTGGTAAACCCCACGATGTCTGCGAACAGGATACTGGAGGGGAGATAGGGGAGGTGGGAAAGAAAGAAAGAAAGATGAAAATGTTTGTAATTCTTCTAAAAATGACAACCTAAAAAGGTCTAGTCATGCCCAAGGGCACTTCACAGTCACAAATAACATTCTTCTCTTGTAGCACAGTTGAGTTTATTTGAGTCTGACACTGTCAACATTATTTTGTTGATGAAAATGAATGTACTGAGCTAAGAAGATGTGTTTGTCAGCTTATCCCAGTTCATCAAAGGGATAAAAACACAATCATCCCAATCACTCACATGCACGAACACGTACACACAACACACAGACTCCCACGAAAGAGTGAGTAAAGGAGAGTAACTTGTAGAACAGTCTGGTCAAAAGTAGTGCACGATTAAGGGAGTAGGGTGCCATTTGGGATGAAGTCAGTGTTGCTTTAGTTTGAATAGTGTAAAGCAGGGGCGTGAATCAGAAAACCAGTCAGTATCTGGTGTAACCACCATTTGCCTCATGCAGCACGACACATCTCCTTCGCATAGAGTTGATCAGGCTGTTGATTGTAGCCTGTGGAATGCTGTCCTACTCCTCTTCAATGGCTGTGCGAAGTTGTTGGATATTGGTTGGAACTGGAACATGCTGTCGTACTCGTCGATCCAGAGCATCCCAAACATGCTCAATGGGTGACATGTCTGGTGAGTATGCAGGCCATGGAATAACTGGGACATTTTCAGCTCCCAGGAATTGTGTACAGATCCTTGCGACATGGGGCTGTGCATTATAATGCTGAAACATGAGGTGATGGCGGCAGATGAATGTCACGACAATGGGCCTCAGGATCTCATCATGGTATCTCTGTATTCAAATTGCCATAGATAAAATGCAATTGTGTTTGTTTTCCGTAGCGTATGCCTGCCCATACGATAGCCCCACCACCAACACGACGCAATATCGTGGTCTGCGGTTGTGAGGCGTGTTGGACATACTGCCAAATTCTCTAAAACAATGTTGGAGGTGGCTTATGGTAGAGAAATGAACATTCAATTCTCTGGCAACAGCTCTGCTGGACATTCCCACAGTCAGCATGCCAATTGCACACTCCCTCAAAACTTGAGACATCTGTGGCATTGTTCTGTGTGACAAAACTGCACATTTTAGAGTGGCCTTTTATTGTCCCCAGCACATTTTACATTTAAGTCATTTAGCAGACGCTCTTATCCAGAGTGACTTACAAATTGGTGCACAAGGTGCACGTGTGTAATGATCATGCTGTTTAATCAGCTTCTTGATATGTCACATTTGTCAGGTGGATGGATTATCTTGGCAAAGGAGAAATGCTCACTAACAGGGATGTAAACAAATGTGCGCACACAATTTGAGAGAAATAAGCTTTTTGTGCGTATTGACAATTTCTGGGATATTTTATTTCAGCTCATGAAACATGGGACCAACACTTTACATGTTGCGTTGATATTTTTGTTCAGTGTTGATCTAATTCACTGTGAATATCTTCACTAGCCCTTGATTCTAACACAAAGAGAATGTATGGATGGGAGTGTGAGAGAGAGTGTAACTTCTTCAGTAAGCCATAATGTGAGAGAGTGTAACTTCTTCTGTAAGCCATAATGTGAGAGAGTGTATCTTCTTCAGTAAGCCATAATGTGAGACAGTGTATCTTCTTCAGTAAGCCATAATGTGAGAGTGTAACTTCTTCAGTAAGCCATAATGTGAGAGAGTGTAACTTCTTCAGTAAGCCATAATGTGAGAGAGTGTATCTTCTTCAGTAAGCCATAATGTGAGAGAGTGTATCTTCTTCAGTAAGCCATAATGTGAGAGAGTGTAACTTATTCTGTAAGCCATAATGTGAGAGAGTGTGTGACTTTTTGAGAGTCCCTCCCCTGCACCGTGACTGTCTGTCTATGGGCCCTGGTCAAAAGTAGTGCACTATATAGGGAATAGGGTGCAATTTGAGACGCAGCCTCAGTAGCATGAAACTCGCTGTCTGCAGCTTGGCTTGACTTGGCTTGGAGACAGAAGAGAGAATGGTGTGGTTTGGTAGATGCAAAGCAGGAATCTAGACTCTCTATTCACAACCCCACTTCTGTAATTTCTATTTGAACAGGGCTCTGTTGTGGGTCGTGTGTGTGTGCTCTCCCTACTCTGGAGAGGAGCGGAGGAGGAGGGGTGCAGGAGGGGGGATGAGGAGGGTTGGAGGAGGGTGCAGTAGGGGGCAAGGAGAGGGGGCGAGGAGGTTTAGAGGAGGGGGGCGAGGAGGGTTGGAGGAGGAGGACGATGAGGGTTGGAGGAGGGGGGCGATGAGGGTTGGAGGTTGGGGGCGAGGACGTCCCTGAGTCACATCAAAAGACCCAGATCAGGGAGATGTCACACACAGATACAGACACACACACACACACAGGAGCTGTAGCAGTACCCTAGCTGGTTGGAAGATAGCCAAGGCTGTGGTGTTGTTTTACACTGACAGTGAATGGGCGGTTTACAGAGCTGTAGGTGTCCAGTAGGGAACCCAGCAGAGCAGGCCGTTTGATAGACTGTGTCCCAAATGGCACCCTATTCCCTATATAGTGCACTACTTTTTACCAGGCCCCTTATAGAATATATAGGGAATAGGTTGTTATTTGGGACGCAGCCATAGAATAGACAGTGGAGAGGAGAGAGGAGAGAGGAGAGAGGAGAGAAGAGAGGAGAAGAGAGGAGAGCCCTTGACTGGAGTGCTGCTGTTGACTCTGCCTGACTGCCATCCACTCCTACTCTCATCATCACTGATACATAAAGCTGTCTTTTTGCTGCCTAGTTAATGTGTAATCATTAGTTCAACTGTCACCCTGACTCTGGCTCAGTGGTGTCTGGTGAGAGGAGATTAATGAAAAAGTATCAAACTAAATAATGGAAAGCATGTGTTGGATCACTTTTCTATTTATTCCATTTCAGCCATTACAATGAGCCCATCCTGCGATATCTTCTCCCACCAGCCACCACTGCTCTGGCTCTACCTTTGCCTCTGACACACACATTGGAGAGATGGTTTCTGGACATTCTTATTAATCTGACCAGGTGACTGAAAGTCATTACCTCTCACGAGCCAAATCACTTTTTTTTTTAAATCCTGATGTCATTTGACGAAGACACAGTGGATCAAGAACAAGACGACCATCAAACCTCTTGCCGCCCGTCAGAAAGCCTGTTGTTGCCATAGTGTCACTCACGTACGTACCTGACGTTGTCATGACGCTGGATGTAGATCTTATGAAAGATCCTCTCGGGCGGCTTCAGGAAGTCCTCCTTCATCTCCATGGCAACGTTCCTGGGCAACAGGCTCATCAGGAGGCGCTCCTAAAGCAGGAGGGGGAGGAGCCGAAAGAGAGAGTGGGCGGAGGTATGTCATTAAGTCATATTATGCAGAAGTAAAAAACCGAACTCACTCATTATTAATAGTATGTCTCCCAAATGACACCCTATTCCATAATATAGTGCACTACTTTTGAACAGAGCCCAGTCCGCCCATGTGGGACACAGCCCTAGCCTTCAGAAGTTACAGCAGCAGAGGTCAAATGGATGCATTTTGGTCAACAGCATTACAGTACAATAGACACACATATACAGGTAACTGCCAAAATAAAGGAAACACCAACATAAAATGTCTTAATAGGGTGTTAGGCCACCACAAACCAGAACAGTTTCAATGCACCTTGGTATAGATTCTACAAGTGTCTGGAACTCCTTTGGAGGGATGCGATACCATTGTTCCATGAGAAATTCCATCATTAGGTGTTTTGGTGGAAAACGCTGTCTCAGGCGCAGCTACAGAATCTCCCATAAGTCTTCATTTGGCTTGACATCTGGTGACTGAGACGGCCATGGCTTATGCTTCACATCGTTTTCATACTAATCAAACCATTCAGTGACCACTCGTGACATGTAGATGGGGGCATTGTCATCCTATGGGGGAATACCATGGTAGCCAAAATAATGGCCTGCCCAGCATCTTTATACATGACCCAAAGCATGATGGGATGTTAATTGCTTAATTAACTCAGGAACCACACCTGTGTGGAAGGACCTGCTTTCAATATGCTTTGTATCCCTCATTTAACGTTTCCATTATTTTGGCAGTTACCTGTGTACATACAGTGCATTCGGAAAGTATTCAGACCCCTTGACTTTTTCCACATTTTGTTACGTTACAGCCTTATTCTAAAACTGATTAAATTAATTTTGTTCCTCATCAATCTACACACAATACCCCATAATGACAAAGCGAAAACAGGCTTTTTGAAAAAAAGGAGAAAAAAACAGAAATACCTTATTTACATAATTATTCAGACCATTTGCTATGAGACTCGAAATTTAGCTTAGGTACATCCTGTTTCCATTGATCATCCTTGAGATGTTTCTACAACTTGATTGGAGTCCACCTGTGGTAAATTCAATTGATTGGACATGATTTGGAAAGGCACACACCTGTCTATATAAGGTCCCACAGTTGACAGTGCATGTCAGAGCAAAAACCAAGCCATGAGGTCGAAGGAATTGTCCGTAGAGCACCGAGACAGGATTGTGTCGAGGCACAGATCTGGGGTAGGGTACCAAAAAATGTCTGCAGCATTGAAGGTCCCCAAGAACACAGTGGCTTCCATCATTCTTAAATGGAAGAAGTTTGGAAGCACCAAGACTCTTCCTAGAGCTGGCCGCCCGGCCAAACTGAGCAATCGGGGGAGAAGGGCCTTGATCATGGAGGTGACCAAGAACCCGATGGTCACTCTGACAGAGCTCCAGATGGGAGAACCTTCCAGAAGTACAACCATCTCTGCAGCACTCCACCAACCAGGCATTTATGGTAGAGTGGCCAGACAGAAGCCGCTCTTCAGTAAAAGGTACATGACAGTCCGCTTGGAGTTTGCCAAAAGGCACCTAAAGGTTCTCTGGTCTGAAGAAACCAAGATTGAACTCTTTGGCCTGAATGCCAAGCGTCGTGTCTGGAGGAAACCTAGCACCTTCCCTACGGTGAAGCATGGTGGTGGCAGAATCATGCTGTGGGGATGTTTTTCAGCGACAGGGACTGGGAGACTAGTCAGGATCGAGGGAAAGATGAACAGAGCAAAGTACAGAGAGATCCTTGATGAAAACCTGCTCCAGAGTGCTCAGAAACTCAGACTGGGGAGAATTATGAAATATCATATTATGTAAATGTGATATTTTAGTTTTGTATTTGTAATACATTTGCAAAAAAATCTAAAAACCTGTTTTTGCTTTGTTATTATGGGGTATTGTGTGTAGATTGATGATGGCAAAAAACTATTTAATCCATTTTAGAATAAGGCTGTAACGTAACAAAATGTGGAAAAAGTAAAGGGTTCTGAATACTTTCCGAATTCACTGTATAAGGTATAACATACATATACTCTGCAAATATATAAGGACTATTGAGAACAACACGCCCATTCTTGATTCTCCCTCATACAGTAGTGTAGCATCCATCCCTGTTGCTTCTCAGAGTGTGGTGTCTGAGAGATGCCCTAGCCTGGTATGACATTAATACCAGCATGCTCCAGTTCCTCCCTGGTCTTCACGCTAGTCCTGACCTTAACAACCACCATGAGCTCAACACCACCACCACCGCTGGTCTTATTAAGGGTAAGGAGCAACAGAGAGTCGGAGACCTACTTCTCTCGTTCGCTCAGTCGTAAAACATTCCTCTTTATACTTTGATTTCAGTCCTCTCAATAGCCTGCATTGGCCCATATTCACAAAGCTTCTCAGATTAGGAGTGCTTTTTGTTGTTTTTGTTGTTTTTGCCTTTTAGATTATAATGAATGGACAAGGGGACCTGATCCTAGATCAGCACTCCTTCTGTGAGATGCTTGATGAATACAGGCCCTGGTCCCATTCTATATGTGCTGTAGCCAATTCTACTGTTGGATCCAACACAGAGAGGAATTGGCTAAAACACAAACAGATTGGACGGATCAGGCTATTGCCATGAGAGCAAAGGCCATGACCCTACATGACTGCACCTACTCCTAAGAATACAAAACATTGTTTTGGCAGCAGCTGTAGCAACACAGATGAGCTGTGCGTGAATTAACAAATGATCAGGATTGCTGTAAAAACAAAAATCGAAATATGAAAGTGCGATCTACCAGGAACAAGTCTGAGAGGTACAACATATAACATGATGTACATTTGAGTGGGGTTCTATTCTCCCTCTGAAATAATGTAGTAGTCATCCTCTCTCCTCTCCTCATTAATTATTCCTGGTGTCGCTCTCTTCGCTGGTCCTGCTGCATTAATCGCTCACTAAATAAATGACTTTTCTTAATTGTCTCTGAGCTGCTGTGGATAAAACAAACTATTCAATTTGCAGACACTGTTTTAAAAACCTGATTACACTCAGTGTACAAATCATTATGCTCTTTCCATGACAGACTGACCAGGTGAATCCAGGTGAAAGCTATGATCCCTTATTGAGGTCACCTGTTAAATCTACTTCAGTCAGTGTAGATGAAGGGGAGGAGACAGTGCAACTCAATATTATCACGAAACGCATTAGAAAATGTTTAATACTCAGCATGTCAAATGTTTTAAAATGATAATTACACAACAATGAAATAAAATGTTTTAAAAAACGGTTTTGGTTATTACTGTCAGAAAAGCAGACTGGCTTTTGTTATAGGCAGAATATAGTAGACTGGTTTGGTTATTATGAGCCAAATGGCAGACTGGTTCAGTGGCGGTTTACATCATGACACCGTGCTGTTCCCAGATCCCAATCAGGGTGCTGTGTGCGTTTTGATACCCAGATAAACTGGTGACCTTTAGCGGGTGGCGTAAGGAGGCCATGAAAGCAATTTGCCTGTGTAATAATGACCTGTCAGAGCTCAGAGCTTTTACTGCAGGACAGGGAAACAACACAACATATCATCAGCTAATCTACAAACAACAGGTGTGTGTGTGTGTGTGTGTGTGTGTGTGTGTAGGTGTAGGTGTGGGGGGGGGGTTGTGTGTGTGAGTGTATGTGTAACGGGGTATGGGCATTAAGATAATGAATTCCTATAAGTGACTTCTATAGGTAGGTATAGTGGGCGGAGGAGGAGAGGAAGGTTGTGTGTGTAATGTTGTGTGTAATGTTGTTCCTGTGTGTGCAGGTTTGTGTGGAGAGGGGTGGAGTGTGTGTGTGTGCTGTGGCTATATGCGTACGCTACGGTAATTGTTATTTCCTTATATAGCTGCTGTCATAGTTACTGTGTGCCTTTGGGCATGTTGCTGCAGAAGCTACATTGGCACCTGCAACCTTTAGAAACTCACTCTGAAACGTATCAAGCTCTAACACACATTCTTTGCACAAGATGCACTCTAAAAAATTATGGGTTAAAAAGCAACCCAGCGCTGGGTAAATAGTGGACAGAACACACGTGGGTTATTTTTGACCCAGCAGTTGGGTCACTGAACTATGACCAGATGGACAGTATTTCTGCTGCATGTATTTAAAATAAGTATTTTAATTACTTCTGAGTATTTTGTATTTTGTATTACACTGGGCTGAACTACTCTCCAATGTATTTTGTAACAAGATACTTTTGAAAGCTGTAATTTGTATTTTCAATATACAAAACACTTTTCTATACCATTTCTGTATAGTGGTTCACAATTTTGTGGCCCCCTTTCACCCTACATTGGTATCAAAAGTCTGATGGCACTATGAGCGATAAGAGCTTCTGCTAAATTAACTAAATGTAAATGTATATGTAAAAATGAAACTAGGCCAATGACAATACCCAGTGTGCTTTGCAGTTGTTCATTTCCACATATACATTTACATTTTGGTCATTCAGCAGACTCTCTTATCCAGAGTGACAGTGCATTCAACTAAGGTAGATAAACAACAACATATAACAGTCATAGCAAGTAACCATTACTGAGAATGTTGCTGCAGTTCGGCCGGCTACTTGCAAATGTATTTTTGTATTTTTAAATACAAAATACATGTACTATAATTAAATACAATGCTTTGCAAAAAAGTATCTTAGATTTTATTGAATTACAAATGACAATTACACAAAACTACAAACTATCCTAAAGACCAATGTATCAAAATAATATATAAGATACTTCTGCAAAGTATTGTATTTTGTATTTTGTATTTTAAAATACATTTCCAAGTAGCCGGTCGAACTGCAACAACATTCTCAGTAATGGTTACTTGCTATGACTGTGATATGTTGTTGTTTATCTACCTTAGTTGTGTCACGATCGTCTGAAGAAGCGGACCAATACGCAGCGCGTGGAGTGAACATGATGACTTTATTAAATAAAGCAACCACGAAAAACAACAA